TGGGGAGGTCTCCCTCCCGCTGGCTCAGCAGCTGGACGCACTCCAAGAGGTGGAAGGGCTTGATGACCTCGAAGACGTGGGAGAGGAGGACGAAGGCGAAGGGCACGGTGTCCCCGAACTTCTGGATGTTCTGCACCTGGTCCTTGTTGTCCTGGCAGAACGATGTGTGGATGGCGTTGAAGACCACGGTGAGCTTCCTCGCGCTGCCGATCTCGGAGAGCTCCTCCTCGAAGAGCTTCTTCAGGGACTGGACGGAGTAGGTGAACAGGGACGTGCGGCTGCCCTTCTCCCCTTCCTCCACCTCCCTGAAGGTCGCCTCGTCGACGTTCAGGCCCTTGGCGTGGCACGACTTGAGGATGTTCAGGCCGTGGGCCATGCTCTTGCAGAAGATCTCCTCGGGGTTCCTCGAGGTGTTCTCGATGTTGCTCAGGTGAAAGATGCTGAGCATGACGTTGCCGAGCATCTTCATGTCCTCGAAGATTCTAAAGTCGGTCTCCTCCTGCTGCTTGGCGAACACCGCGAGGGCTCTGTCGAACCTCTTGATCGTCTCGTCGACAGGCTCCACCTCCGCGAAGCAGGTCGACTCGTCGATCATCTCCATGCAGTCCTTGATGCTCGGCAGCAGGGTGTTGGAGACGATCTTGTACGACTTTTCGATGAGCTTCTGGACGACGAGGAAGATCTCCTCCTCGCTGAGCAGCTGGGCGAGGCACTGGAAGTGCATGGCGCTGAACGTCCCCGAGTGCATGCGGGAGATCTCCCTGATCGTCTCGTTGTAGATCCTGTGCCCGAACAGGAAGCTCGGGCTCGGCAGCACGGGCAGGGGGTTCTTCCTCAGCTCCCTCCGCGTCACGTACTTGTCCTCGATGAACTTGGAGGTGGACAGGTAGTAGTTGTAGTACGAGGGCACGACCGAGGAGAGCTCCTTGTAGATGTACACGCACAGCCTGGACCCGAAGGACAGGGTGGACGTGTTCTCGTTCATCTCCTTGACGATCGTGTCCCACGAGTCGATCTCGAGGTACTCCCTGAGGGACGAGTGGGCCGACTCCAGGATGTGGTACCCGGTGTGGAACTCCAGGATCCCCTGCGAGATGTCGAGGGCCTCGAATCTCTCCATGAGGTAGTCCAAGTTCTCCCTGAACAGCTTGTTGATCCTTTGGGCGACCAGCTTCCTCAGGTTCACACTCCTGCCCAGGAGGTCGTGGACCTTGGGGGACACGACGCCGGCGATGCTCTGCTTGGGCAGGAGGTCCTCGCTGAGCAGGACTTGGGTCTCCACGAACTTGCTGAGGTGCTGGCCAGACACCGTCATCTTGACGATGTCGTACACCTTGGTCGCTATCTTGAACGCCATCCTCTCGAAGGCGAGGTCCGCCTCCGTCTCGAGCTCGTCGTAAATGTACTGCTTGCCCAGCTCCGCAAAGTTCTTCCCTGCGGCCTTGTTGTACACGTGCATCGGGATGAGGGACATCTCCAAGTCCAAGTCCTGGCGCGAGGCGTCGATCTGGGCCTCGAAGAGCTTCCAGGGCAGCGAAGTGGAGATGCCGGACTTGTTGGCCTCCATCCTGTCGAACAGCTGCTCGTGGAGCCAGAGGTAGGAGGTGTCCACGGCCTGGCCGAACGAGAAGCTCAGGTCCAGGACTTGGACGAACAGGGCCGTGTCCAGGGCAAAGGCCCGGAGCTGCCTGAGAACCTCCGACCCGGAGACCTCCTTCTTGAAGATCTTGGTCTTCCTCAGCCGGTTGTCGATCTCGTAGCACATCTCGCCCGCGATCTCGTTCAGGAGCACGAGCTGGGACAGGGAAGGCCCGCTGCCCAGGGCGAGCCTGCCGTCCCTCGCGTCCTCCCTGGCCAGGTGCGTCCGCAGCATGCGGTGCAGCAGCTCAAAGTGCTCTGGGCACTTTTTGCTCAGCAGGATCTTGTCCGACGTGTCGGCCCTGAAGGCGTCCAGCCTCCTCTGGATCGACGCCGAGAGGATCGGGAAGAGGAGGTGCTCCCTCGTGCGCACGTACTGGTTGAGGTCCTTGAGAATCTGCACCAGGCTGAGGATCGCGAGCTTTTCCTCCGGGCTGAACAGGCCGACGATCCTGCTGCTCAGGCTGTCGTCCAGCCCCCGGGAGCTGTCCTGGCCCGCCGAGGAGCTCACCTTCCAGCAGAAGAACGTCTGCAGGTTCCACTGGCAGGAGTGCACGAGGTCGAGGGCGGCCTTGTACGCCTCGAGCGTGGACTCCGCGAGGGCCTCGGGGATCACGTTGGCGTCCAGCCCGACCTTCTGGGCCTGGGAGACGCACTTGCAGAGCTGGAAGAGGGCCCCGTCGTAGGCGGCCTTCGCCCTCTCCGCGGCCGGGCAGATGTCCACCCCGAGCTCGGTGCCCTGCAGGTGCTTGGGGCCCAGCTGGTGGGGCAGGAGGTACGCCCTTATCTTGAACTTGGCCTCAAAGTCTTCGATGCCGGACAGGAGCCCCAGGGAGGACATCCAGGCGTCCCCCACGACCTGGAGCACGGGGTTCTTCTTCAGCAGGGCGACCGCCCTGCCGACCGACTTCTTGTCCAGGAGCTTGGCGTTCTGGGCGTGGATCAGGTACAGCAGCACGGGAAGGGACTTGAGGACCACGTTCTTGAGGGCCACGTTTCTCGCGCCGCCGTCCCGCTCGTACAGGTCCAGGAGTCGCTTCAGCACCGAGTGCAGGAGGTCGTCCATCTTCTGGTACCTCTCCAGCCTGGACTGCAGCTGCTTCACCCCCGCGAACGAGGACCTGTAGAACCCGCTGAGCTCCTCGGAGTACTCGCTGAGCTCCCACTGCTGCAGGGCGACCGCCATGTCCTGGAAGACGTTGATGTCCGCCTGGACGCTCAGCTTGGTGGCCTTGGCCACGTCCGCGGCGTGCAGCTCGGCCAGCACGGTCGCCAGAGAGACCAGGTAAGGCGTCGAGGACTCCACCCTGCACTGGGACCACTTGGAGTTCAGGTCGTCCAGCACGGACGCCATCGTCTTGCTCGCCCCCACCAGGTCCGTGTACGTGTCGTACAGCCACTTGACCTCGGCCTCCATGGTGCTCAGCTTGGCTTGGAGGAAATTCACCTTGTCGTCCTTCCCCAGCGCCGGGCGGAAGAACGCCTTGGAGATCGACCTGTGCGAGTAGATCTTCCCCGTCAGCAGCCTGAGCTTCGTGCTCAGGCTGTTGTTGAAGCTCCTCTGCTGGCACCGGTACGCCGCGGACGGAAGACGCAGGGCAGCGGAGGTGGTGGACGCCTGCAGCAGGGCGGAGGTGGTGGTGGTGATTGGGGTGAAGAACAAGTTAGAGTCGTGAGGCGGGGTCGTTTGCACGTCCCCGAACGAAAGGTTAGCAAGCCCGGTGAAAGAGGAGGACCCTCCGCCCCCGGGAGTCATCTTTTTGAACAGCAAGCCAGAATCTTTGTTTGTGTTGTGTTGTGTTGTGAGAAGATTGTGTGTTGTTGTTGTCAGGTGAATGAATGAATGAATGGAAGTGGAAGTGGAAGTGGAAGTGGAATGGTTTGCCAACGACAACAACGCCGCCGCCGTCGTCGTCGAGACTCGATGAATGGACTCACGCGCGTTGCTTGCTGTTCAGGTGGTGGTGGTGGTGGTGGTGGAAGCGTCGAGTGCCAGCGACGACGAAGCGTCGAGTGCCAGCGATGAAGGAAGGAAGGGATTTTTCAAACAAAAAGCAAAAGCGGAGGAGAGGAGGAGGAGGAAGGGAGGAGGGGAGGAGGAGGGGAGGAGGAGGAGGAACCAGGAAGGAAAGCGAAGGTCGATGACAGGTTCGTCGTGAGACATTGTTCTTGGTTAAGAATTGGCATCGATCCATTCGATGACGCGCTGGTCTTTCCTGCTCTCCGCCCATACCATGCATTCAATTGGGTCCCAACGGCAAGGCGGGTCCTGGCTTCGAGCCCACTGAGTTTTAGATCTCCTCCTCCGACTCCTCCCCTGGTTTCGCTTGCTCCGTATCCACCTCCATATTGTTCTCAAGCATCATGTCGACGAGCATTGGATGCGGGGTCACTACTACCTCTTTGGCCTTTCTGTTCTCGGACTTCTGCCGGCCGGAGCCAACGTTCACGTCGCCTCCTCCTGCGTTCTCCTCGTACCCCTTGCCGACTTTGCCATGTTCATAGCTGCAGCTCAAGCACTTCAAGCCCCTTGAATTGTTGATTGGGATCAAGGTTTTCTTGGACTCCGGCTTCTTTGTACACGGAACACAAAACCAAAAGCCAATCGTGTTCTTCAGTGAAGACGAGGATTCTCCCTTCGAGGCCTGCATCGATGTCAAGCACGAGAGCCTGAGGAAGATCCCGATGCTCGAGCTTTGCGAGAAAGTTTCCATGCAGTGCGTTGTCAACGAGACTGCCGGGGTCGACAGCGCTGACAAGATTGCCATGGACGACAATGAGGCTGGCCTGCTGGTCCAGGGGAAAACGGGGAATCTCTTGGATTGCCTCCAGAGGAACTGCCATGTGGTGGATCTCACCAGATTAGAGTCCAATGACATCCACATGATGCAGGACAACTTTGGGATCGAGGCCGCCAGGAGAGTTCTTGAGAACGAAGTCATCAAAGTTTTCGGGGCCTACGGCATTGAGGTAGACCCTCGCCACCTGTCCCTCGTGAGTGACTTCATGACTCATGCAGGAAGGTTCACTGGGTGCAGCAGAACGGGAACCTTCCCTCAGTTTGGATCCCCCTTCTTGCAGATGTCCCAGGATGAGGATGAAATGACCTCGCCGAGCAGCAACATCGCCTGCGGACAGCTGGTCACAACCTCGGGCACGGGATTGTGCAACCTCTGCTACAAGAAGACTTGAATAGATGTTTTATCGCCTTTGTCCTTGCCTTCCTTGCTTGCTTGCTTGCTTGCTTGTTCCATCACCGTCACCCTCATCACGATCTCGGGCTGGCGTTACGGCGGCTCTCTCTTCTCGCCGACCACTCACGTCTCTCACCGAATATTGTCCCTCACCGAGTAAAATGAAAATGCCTCCGTGCGGAATCGAACCACAGACCTTGGCATCACTTCGCGTACAAGGTATAGTACGCGTACAAGTGCATACAAGTGCCACGCTCTCCCAACTGAGCTACGAAGGCGCGGATTCTACTCGACAAAACGTGGAAATTTCGTACCATAAATAGAGGAGGGAGGGAGGGGGAGGAGGAGAGAGGAAGAACCCTAATCGGAAGACTAGGCTAGACTAGACGACGACGACGACGACGACGACAACGACGACTGGAGAGAGAGAGAGCAGCGAGCAGCGAGAAGATGAACGAGCAGGAGGTCGCCGTGCAAATCTCCCAGATGGTCCAGGTAAGCGCCGTGGTGTGTGTGTGTGTGAGAGAGAGAGTTTCCCCTCGCTCGCTTCCCCTCGCTCGCTTCCCCTCGCTCGCTCGCTTTTCTCTACAACTCAACAACTCAGCAACTCTCCGTCCAGCCCCAACCCGCCCCCCTCCTTCTCTCTCGGGGTTCTCTCTGTCTTGTCTTCAAAGCGTGTTGTGCTCGTTCGCTGACAAAATGTCCTCCTCCATCCAAACTCCATCCAAACTCAAACAAAAACAACTCCAGTTCATAAGGAAGGAGGCCGAGGAGAAGGCGAACGAGATCAGGGCGGCGGCCCAGGAGGAGTACACCATCCAGAAGCAGACCGTGGTAGAGGCCGAGAAGGCGAAGATCCGCAAGGAGTACGAGAGGAAGCGCAGCCAGATTGACACGAAGAAGGCGATAGAGAGCTCGACGCAGCTGAACACGGCGAGGCTCAAGGTCCTGCAGGCCCAGCAGGACGCCATCGACGAGGCCATCGAGAGCGCGAGGACCTTCCTTCCCCGGGTCGCGGCCAACCCCGCCGAGTACAAGAAGCTCGTCCTGGAGCTCCTGGTCCAGGCCGTCAAGAGGTTCGGCCCCGGGAGCGACCTCAGGGTGAAGTGCCTCCAGAGGGACGCCGGGGTCGTCCAGGAGTCCATCGAGGCGGCGAGGAGCCAGTACGCCGCGGCCACGAACTCCGCGGCCCCCTCGGTCGCGCTCGACTCCCTCAGCCCCCTCGCGGACTGCATGGGGGGCCTGATCGTGTCCACCGCGGACGGGAAGATCGTGTGCGACAACACCCTGGACGCCAGGCTCGCGATCGTCGCCAAGCAGGCCCTGCCGGAGCTCAGGAAGGTCCTTTTCCCCGAGAACGAGGGCGGGGTGAGCTTGATCAAGGTTTGATGATGGGTTCTTGGGATTGGATTGGATTGGGGGGTTGAGAGAGAGAGGGGGGGTTGGGGTTGCGTGAGGGGCACGCAGCAGCAGCAGCACACGTCAGGAGGAGGAAACAAACAAACGAGCAAACGAGCAAACAAAGGAGATGGATGTTGTGTGCGTGAACAACATAGTTGTAATGATCAATCATTCAATCATTCCAAAACAACAATCACGTTGGGTATTATTGTTGTTGGGTCTGTCCGCCTGCTGTATTACACCATCATCCCATCATCACCATCGTCACCGCCCCCGGCTCTTCTTCCTCTTGCTCGTGTGGAACAGGGCCTTGGTCAGGAGGTGGGACAAGAGTCCCGCGGGGCCAACGACAAAGCAGAGGGCGACCGAGTGCCTCCAGGGGACCCCGGCCTCCCTGTCCCTCAGCACGTGCCTTGCCACCAGAAAGTCCAGGAAGGTGATTTGCGTCCAGACCAGGGCGGTGGCGGCCGGGTCCCGCAGCAGGGCCTGGAGGGCCGGGATCCCGTTCGTCCAGCAGCTCCGGCTGAGGTCCAGCAAGGTCGAGCAAGGGGCCCCGACGAGGCTCAGGAGGAACGCCGAGCCCAGGAGGAAGGGGAGGAGGAAGGGGAGGAGGTCCTTGTTGTTGTTGTTGCTGCTGCTGGTGGTGGTGGTTTCGTGACGGGTCGGCGGAGGGCTCCAGATCCGGTCGACGAGCCGGATCCTTCGGCGCCCCAGCGCCAGGAGGGCCAGGTACGCCGGGACGAGGACCGCGGACGTCCCGAGGTTGAAGGCCAGGGAGCTAGCCGCTGGTGCTGCTGCTGCTGCTGATGCTGCTTGTGCTGGTGCTGATGCTAAAGCTGTTATGGCAGCGCTGAGCGCGCGAGGGGGAGGGAGGCGACCCCTGGCGTGGCGGGGGTGCGCGAGGGGGGTGATGGCCCTCGTCGTCGTCGCCATCGGCGCGCTCGCTCTGGCTTCGAGTCCTAAGTCCTCCCTTCTCACCTCTGACGTCTCAGGATGGAAATCCCTGCTCCGGGAGAAGGGGGAGCCTGCGCCTAGCTCTCTGACCCCCATCGTGGAGTAATTAGGATACACACAGGAGTTTATTACTATTATTCGTACAAGGAAGAAGTAGCTTTCCTTCTTTCATTCTGTCTGTCTGTCTGTCTCTCTCTCTCTCTCTCTTTTCGTCAGGTTCCCTTGAAGAAGAGGTACTCGCCCTCCGCCAAGGCCTCCTCGCTTTCCCTGGACCCTTCCCCGCTCCTGGTGTGCCAGCCCATCTGCAAGAAGGGCACGAGGTGCTCCGGCAGGCTCGCGGGGGGCTTCACCCTGGAGAGCTGGAAGTACATCCCCCCGTCGCATTGATCCAGCTTGCCGTTTCCACCAGGAGCATCAGGAGGCTCCTGACCTCGTCCTCGTCCAGGCCCGTGTGGAACAACTGGCATTTCTCCAGTTCTGCCGCGACATCGTGAACGCTGACCCTGCACCGCTTCTGCCGGACGAATTTGAGGCATACCCTGCACGCCACCTCTATTATCTCCTCGTCCAGCTCGATCTTCATCGTCCTCACCGCCTCGAGGAACGCCTTGCAGGTCAACTTAAAAACGATCCAGTGGTAGGAGCTCGCCTACCACCTCCAGTCGCTGCCGTGAAACTTGAGCCTTCCGCAGGGACACTTCGCCTGTTCAACCTCTACAGCCTTTCGAGCCGCTTCCACCAGCGATGGTGGCCCGCGCGCCTCCACGACCAAGCGATGTGTGGCCCATTCTGTGACTGCTGTGCGCACCAGCGTGCTCACGTCTGGACGTGCCGCGTGCACGTGATGCCCTCCAGCTTCCGCCAGCCCCTCGGCCCCCTCGATGAGGCTATCCTGCCGAAGTGGCTGCAGATCTGAGGCATCAACGGTTTCTTGATGGCCCCCAGTGCGAACGGCATTATAATGCCTCACCGCTACCCAGGACACAGCCCGCAAAACGCCAGTGATGGCGAGAAAAACAAGCACCACCGGCAGGCACCGTTGCGCTACGAAGAATTTAGCCAGCGTCGTCGATGAACCCCAAATTCGATGATGGTAGGTCCAGCCCCAGGATGTCACCGCCAAGCCCACGAGTGTCGACGCCAACAATGCCACCTTCATCCACCAATTGCCGCCTTGATGTAGGTGAGCCCTGGCCTGTGCGGTCTCTCCATTGCCCACCCCGCTCACCACAGCAGCCCCGCCCCGCGCCCTCCCAACAAAAAGCTTGCCGAGCTTGCCAGACAGAGCGGAGCCGTCAGCCTTGGTGACAAAGACGGTCACCTTGACCCCGGTGGAGGGCGCGGGCAATCGATTGGCGAGCGCGAGGTAGTCCGCTTCTTTCTGGACAAACCACACCAGGTGGCACGGGTCGCGGTGGGCACCGCCAGCCTGAGCCAGCACAGGCAGCCATCCGGTGATCCCAGTGCCACCGGCCAGGAGCAGCAGCGCGGTTTCTTCACGGCCGTGGGTGTCCTGCTCTGACCCTGACAACCAGCAGCAGCAGCCTCCGCCATATGGGTACGGTCCAGACACCTGGACATCGAATCTGTCACCTCCTGGCGTTGAAGCGAGGCTGCAAAGCGCCCTAGTCCAGTTGCCGATGTTCGAGGAAACAATCATCGAGAGCTCCGTGCTTCCAGTGGCCGAGACGGTCACGGAGAGCGGGTGCGACTCCGTCCCGAGCGGCGCCACACTCACGGACACCCACTCCTCGCGCGGTACCCTGGTTATTGGTTTCGGCACTGTCGCAGCGTCTATGGTCAGCTCGACCCACGTCCCCGACGTGCCTGGGAGCAGCCGGGCTTTGGCAGGCAGCACCTTATTGCGCAGCGCGGAGCCGTCCTGCCGCCCGAGGTACCACCCAGCGAGCCCAGGCACGGCGAATAGTAGGATGGGAAGATCGTGCAGCGCGCAACACGAGACGAACACCATGGCGGCTGGCAGGTGGAGGCGTTGGAATGCCTGGTACCACTTCTTCCTGACATGGGGCAGCGCAGAGAGCGTCAGCGGCAGCAGCAACACGAGAGCAGCAACAATCCCGATAAAGTTCACCAACCCAAGCGTGTTGAGGGAGCCGGGCGTGCTTCCGAAGGGGAAGCAGTCGAGCCACAGCGAGCTCGTCCCGCCTCGGCTGAGGTAGAAGAGCAGATACGCGATGGAGTGCAGCGCTGACTGCCTCGCGCACCACCAGCCGCTCGCTCGGTGCAGCGGAATCGCCTCCGAGTACCCCAGCTCGCCGCCGGAGGCTCCGAAAACCCACGCTGATTCGCCCCGCCCGGCGAGGAGAAGGCAGACGCCAAGGTCCAGTCGGGCGAGGCGCGCGCTGATCAGGCCGACGGCGTCAAGAAGCATGCTCACGGAGCCGCACCCGGGTTCGTCGTCCTGGCAGTTGTCCGAGCGGCGGCTGCCCCACAGAGACGCCGCAGCTGCTGCCGCGAGGGGGGCTCCGTTCAGCGCGGCAAGCAGCGGCTCGGCTGTGCGCAGGCGAACGAAAAAACCGGCGTGCTGCGAGCATCCCGTGCTGGCGAGCAGAATGGCCAGGACGGAGAGGGTGGCTACGATTACGGCCTGCTGAGCAGCCCAGTCCCGCAGGAGTCCCTTGGCGCTAGAGCGAGGAAGAGGCAAGAGCTCGCCCGCGCAGAGGTAGGTGAAGACCAGCGCCGTCGTCACCCTCAGGCACCGCACAGCGCCCCGCCTTTTCCTGTGACACGCTTCCCCCTCCATGTTGTCCCCTGCCCCGCGCCGCCGCCGACCGAACCCAGCAGCCATAGGATCAGCTTCTTCAACACCAAAAGCCACATTTCCTTTGGGAGCACATCCAACGCATTCCCTTGCTCTCCGCTCCTCCTTCTCTCTCTCTCTCTCTCTCTCTCTCTCTTGTCCTGGTTCGCCCTCGTGCTCGCCCGTTACGCAGAGAAATGCCTCGCGATGATGTCCACATCGTCGAGGAGATGGCGAATGAAAGAAGCAAGGAATGGCGAAAAGAAAGATCAAAGCAAAGCTAAGTTTCATTGCATCAGGTGTTCGATAGAAGCTCAGTGATTGCCATGGTTAGAGGTCCAACGTTAGTCGTAATATCCGTAATACTCTTCTTCAGACTCTTCGCTGAGGATTTTACGCCCCATATATCTCAATATGTCGTTGGCATCAAAGGCGTCCCTCTGATTCATGATCCAATTGTACGTTTCGTGGTGACTGTTCGCGACAGCCGCATCAAGGCATGCCACTGGATCCCAAGAGCAAGGCGGGTCCTGGCTTGTAAGCCACTGCAGAACGTGAAGGTGACCTCCTCGAGCTGCCAATTCACAAGTCTTCTCGTTCCAAGGGCAAGGCGGGTCCTGGCTTCGAGCCCACTGCAGAACATCAAGGTGACCTCCTTCAGCTGCCAATTCACAAGTCACCTCGTTCCAATCACATGGCAGGTCCTGGCTTCGAGCCCACTGCAGAACATCAAGGTGACCTTTCATAGCTGCAGCAGCACAAGTCTGCGAGTTCCAAGGGCAAGGCGGGTCCTGGCTTCGAAGCCACTGCAGGACATCGAGGTGACCAAATTGAGCTGCGTACCAACAAGTCTCCCAGGTCCAATCACAAGGCGGGTCCTGGCTTCGAGCCCACTGCAGAACACCAAGGTGACCTTTCATAGCTGCCCCAAAACAAGTCTGCTTGTTCCAAGGGCAAGGCGGGTCCTGGCTTCGAAGCCACTGCAGGACATCAACGTGACCTCCTCCAGCTGCATTAGAACAAGTCTCCTTGTCCCAAAGGCAAGGCGGGTCCTGGCTTCGAAGCCACTGCATGACATCAAGGTGACCCGCATAAGCTGCCCCCAAACAAGTCTGCTTGTTCCAAGGGCAAGGCGGGTGCTGGCTTCGAGCCCACCGCAGAACATCAAGGTGGCCTCCTTCAGCTGCAGCAGCACAAGTTACCCAGTCCCAATCACAAGGCGGGTCCTGGCTTCGAAGCCACTGCAGGACATCAAGGTGACCATATTTAGCTGCAGCAGCACAAGTCATCAAGTCCCAAGGGCAAGGCGGGTCCTGGCTTCGAGCCCACTGCAGAACATCAATGTGACCTCCCATAGCTGCCATCCCACAAGTCCCCGCATCCCAAGGGCAAGGCGGGTCCTGGCTTCGAGCCCACTGCAGAACATCAAGGTGACCTCCTTCAGCTGCTAAAGCACAAGTAGTCGCGCCCCAGGGACAAGGCGGGTCTTGGCTTCGAGCCCACTGCAGAATATCAAGGTGACCTCCTCCAGCTGCCCCAAAACAAGTCCCCGCGTCCCAAGGGCAAGGCGGGTCCTGGCTTCGAGCCCACTGCAGAACATCAAGGTGACCTCCCATAGCTGCCCTCCTACAAGTCCCCGCGTCCCAAGGGCAAGGCGGGTCCTGGCTTCGAGCCCACTGCAGAACATCAAGGTGGCCTCCTTCAGCTGCAGCAGCACAAGTCCTCTCATGAAATCCGCACCCCTCGCTCCTCAACCATTCCAGCAACTCAATGTGACCTCCTGCAGCAGCTCCTGTAGCTGCTACCACTCCATGATACTCGCGATTGAGATTCAAAGGGATCCCTTGACTCACCAACCACTGCATCACCTTCTTGCTGCCCTGGAAAGCGGCGAGAAACATCAGGTCAGAGTCGTACAAGTGGTCGTAGTACTTTCCCAAGTGGCTGGAGGGCTTGCTATCTCTCAACTTGCCCGGTGTTTTCTTCTTCCTTTTGAACGACCGAGACACCCACTGGAACCAACCCAAACTGAAGCAAGGCATCTCCTTGAACAACCTCTCTGTCTCTAGGTCCGTCTTCAGAGCAACCTTCTTCTTCAGCTCAGGGTTCGCCGTTGCCGTCGTCGTCGTCGTCACCGCCTCGAGGAACGCCCTGCAGGTCAAGGCGAAAGCGATCCGGTCGTAGGAGCTGAGCTTCTTCATGACCAGGAGCCACGCCCACTCGGGCAGCACTTCGAAGGCATGCTTGGCCTTCCTCCTCTGCCTCTCTCTCTCTCTCGTCTCCTCCATGAGCACTTCTCTCTGTGTGTGTGTGTGTGTGTGTGTGGTGCCCCCTCCCTTGAAGAAGAAGTACTCGCCCTCCGCCAAGGCCTCCTCGCTTTCCCTGGACCCTTCCCCGCTCCTGGTGTGCCAGCCCATCTGCAGGAGGGGCACGAGGTGCTCCGGCAGGCTCGCGGGGGGCTTCACCTTGGAGAGCTTGAAGTACACCCCGCCGTCACTGCACCCCTCGTCGCATTGCTCCAGCTTGCCGTCGTACACCAGGAGCTTCAGGATGCTCCTGACCTCGTCCTCGTCCAGGGCCGTGCGGAACAACTCGCTTTTCTTCACTTCTGCCGCGACCTCGCGAAAGCTGACCCTGCCCCCCTTCTCCCGGACGCTCTTGAGGCATATCTTCATCGCCGCCCCTATCATCTCCTCGTCCAGCTCGTTGTTCGTGTACCAGGCCCCCCCCGTGATCTCCTTGCTGGGCTGGACGTCAAACGCCATGTACACCTTCCTGTTCCTGTTCGTCACCCACTTGATCGACTTGATCAGCTTCCTCTGCTCGAGGAACTTGAGGATCTTCGCGACCTGCGGCTGCTGCAGCCCGGCCTTCGTCTTCAAGTCCTTGGTCCAGATCCCCATATCGCTCGAACTTTGGATGATCTGGTACACCAGCAGGTCCTCCCTCCCCAACCCCTCGAGCTTCCTCTGCTCCTCCTGCCTGTTCAGCTTGTAAAACACTTTCCTCCTCCCGGAACCATCCGCGGCGCCGCCCTCCAGGAGCTGGATCTTGTGCTCCGCCAGCAACTGGTTCACCACCCTCGCCAACACGTTCACGACAAACTCGGGGGTAACTAAGTGCTCCTCCTGGAGCTTCCGTTCCAACTCCGCACTCTGCAACCCTTCTCCTTCCGAGGACGCCAACAGGGCCACGACGCGCTCCACCCAAACCTCGTCCGGCTCGATGTTCATCGTCCGAACGAGAGACGAGAGACGCTCCTCCCGCTAGTCTACCGCTCGAGAGAAACCTCCGGCACAAACTCCCGCCCTCGTCGTCGCCTCCCCTCCTCGGTGATCTACTCCTCGATCTCTTTCTGCCTCTCTCTTTTTCGTGTTTCGTGTCGTCGTCAGATGCTCAACACTGGGTCGTTTCTTTCGCGCGACGGCTCTTTCGAAAGAGCAAGAGACGACGACGACGACCTTCCTGTCCTCCGCCTCTCTCTTCTCCTCCTCCGCGCGCTCCCGTACTCGTTCGTTTCTCTTCTCGCCTCGTCCTCGTTCGCCCTCGCCGTCCTCGTCGCCGTCCTCAGCCGTTACGATCAACGATCTCGTCGTGATCCTTGTACAATTAACGTCGCTCATAGAATCCAAAAAAATGCCTCAGCGGAGAATCGAACTCCGGACCTTTACCTTTTCCTATACGAGAAATAAGATTCTGTACGAAGGTAACGCTGACTACCAACTGAGCTACTAAGGCTGGACACTCACAATTCGGAGTTTTTCTACTCTATGTACTGATGGGCAGCGCTTCCCTGAGAGACAGAGACGACGCGAGGGGCACTGTCGAGCACACCCGTTCCCGTTCCCGTTCGTTCCCTTGATGGCCGCCGTGTTCGCCGTCCCGAGGCTGGCACGCCCCTCTGTCTTGCTTCGTCGCCCGCGCCCCTCGTGGATCACCAGGCCCTGTGCCCGTCCCAGGGATGGCACCTCCTCGGGCGACTTGTTCTCGTCGTACGACGACTACGACGGGGGTTCGGCCTGCGACCCGGTCCCCGGGCGGGAGGACGCCAGCCAGAGCACCGGGAGCCGGCGTCGCCGGTCGACGAACGCGGCTGGTGCTCCAGCGACGACGAGGAGGTTGAGCGTGGAGCACCGGGAGGCCATCAGCCGGGCCCTCAAGGGGAGGAAGAAGCCCGCGGGGTTCATGTCCGAGGTCCACAAGGCGAAGATCAAGGCGACTCAGAAGAGCAGGAAGAAGCCGGAGGACTTTATGGCCGAGGAGCACAGGAAGAAGATCTCCGAGAGCATGCGGAAGGCTTGGGCCCGGCGCAAGGCCAAGGCCGCCCTGGAGGCTGCTGCTGCTGCTGCTGCTGATGATGTTGATGGTGTTCCCAGCGACGACGAGAAGGGGAGCTAAAGGGGGATCCTTTCGCCGGCATTCGTCCATCAGCCGGGTCCTCAAGGGGAGGAAGAAGCCCGCCGGGTTCATGGCGACTCAGAAGGGGAGCTAAGGGGTCCTATCGTCCATCTCCAGCAAAAACAAATTCAACTGTAAACCAACCTCATATATATATATATATACACCCGCCCACCCACCCACACCCACACCCACACCCACATCCCTGTTGTCGTCGTTGTTGTTGTTGTTGCTGCTGCTGTTCAGATCATCCTCATCATCCTCATCCTTCCTCCCTTCCTTCCTCCCTTCCTCCCTCCCTTCCTCCCTTCCTTCCATCAGTCCCTCTCAGATCCAGTCCCTCTCCTGCAGCTTCAGCGGCAGGTACACCTCCGTCAGGTACTGGAACCCAAAGGAGCTCAGGGCCTGGATCTCGGCCTTCTCCCCCGTGTCGAGCATGATCTGGAGCTCCTTGGACCACTCCGGGTTCGCCTTCATGAAGTCCTCCTTCAGGAGCTTCTCCCCCAGCCTCGTATCGTGCTCCGTCATGTCCAGGCGGCACTGGTTCGGCAGCTTGAACCTGTCCAAGTCGCTGGGCCTCACCCCGAGCCACTTTATCCCAGGCGTCGTGAGGTTCGAGCTGTCGAACGACATGTTCTTGGAACCCCTGGTGTACACCGAGATGATGTTCAGGCCGTAAGGATCGGCGTCCACGAGGGCGAGGACCTGGAGCTTGAGGTCCTGCTGCATCTTGCGCAGGAACTGCCTGGTGGCCACGTCCGGCTGGCCCTTCCCAGTGATGATGATGCACGGGAACCTGTTGTAGAACCTGTCCTCCGCGAGCCTCTGGAAGGCGGCGTCCTTCTCCACCAGCAGGATGAACTCCGCGTCCGACTCGAAGTCGGTGCACTTTTGGATGTTCGAGGGGATGGCCTTCCCCCCCACCCCCATCCGCGTGCAGTCGATGACGTCCCCCGCCTCCCGGTACCTCAGCCTCCCCACGACCAGGCCCTTCTCACTCGCCACGACGTGCAGGGAGCACCTCGTGCACCCCAGCATGCAGGTCACGTCCTCAAGCGCGGCGTCAGACTCGTCCTGCTTCTTGAAAAGCTTGACGTCCGAGTAGAACAAATCTCTCTTCGTCGCGGTGATGTCCTTGCTGCACAGCTCGTACACGAGCTGCATGAGCTTGGACATGATCGCGACCTTCCTGACCTCCCCCCTGTTCCCGAAGGACCTCTGCGTCTTCGAGTCCTTGAGGACGATCCGGTCCAGCTCCTGCACATAGTGCTGGTTGCCGGACCCCCTGGAGGGGACGTGGAACCCCAGCCCCCGTCCCTCCAGGATGCTCTCCGCAGCGTCCAGGATCACCCTCTCGATCTCCGTCAGCACCGACCTCGTGTCCTTGTCCACGACCTCACGAAACTTTCCCGCCAAGTTCAGCGAGCTCAGCGTCTTGGGCTTGGCGTTCTCCCTCCTCAGGCTCTCCTTGATCGCCCTGACGTGCCTCAGGATGTCGTCGTCGGAGCCCAGCCTCTCCACGAGCTCCTTCCCGGCCTCCGCGTCCCACTCCTCATCCAGGTCCTCCCTGCTCTTCCTCTTCTTCTCCTTCCTCTTCCTCTCCGCAACCTGCGCCTTCTTCCTCGTCGCGGTCGGCTTGCTCCTCCCCTTCCCCTTCCCCTTCCCACGCGCAGCTGGCATCCTCTCCCGTCAACCTCCCGTCACTCGCCCTCCTCTCCCGCGCTTTTCTGTCCTCCTCTTCCTCTTCCCGCGCGCTTTTCTGCTGTCGTCGTCGTCGTCGTTCGCTCGCGATGGGGGCAAGGGGACGCCAGGGCGGCGCGCGGAACGCCTGGAGGGTCTGGACCCTCGTCGCCGTCCTCGTCGTGTGCGTCCTCGGTCTCGAAACCAGAACCAAAACAGCTTCAACAGGACTGAGGAGGCATGGTGGTGGTGGTGATGATGATGGAGAGAGTCTTCTTCTTCTTCGGGGGGGGGTCGAAGAGGTTCGGCTGTCGTCCGGGAGGGCATCGGGTGCACCGGTGGTGCCGGCCAAGACCGAGGAGGAGGTCAGGCTGAGCCAGCTGCCTCACACTTACTTTGATATTGAGATTGCTGGGGTGCCCAAGGGCAGGATAGTCTTCGCGCTCTACAACGACGTGTCCCACCTGGCGGCCGAGAACTTCAGGGCGCTGTGCACGGGGGAGAAGGGAGTCGTGCCGGAGGGCAAGGAGGGCGCGGGTCAGACGTACTGGTTCAAGGGGAGGAGCTTCTACAGGTGAGTTTTAGCGTTCATCTCAACGTCATCATGACCATCGTCCTCATCCAACGTCCTTGTTTCCTCCTTCCTCGTCTGAAACGTTGCCTCTCTCTCTCTCTCTCTCTCTCTCTCTCTCTCTTGCATCGTCATCACCTCTCAGAATCATCGACCAGTTCATCGATCAGACGGGGGCAGGCACGGAGTCCATCTACGGGGGCAAGTTCAAGGACGACCCGGGCGGCCTCAAGCTGAAGCACACCCGCTCCGGGCTGTTGTCCATGGCGAACTACGGGCCGGACACGAACACGAGCCACTTTTCTATTCTGATGGCCCCGGCGCCCCACCTCGACGGCCACTACGTCGTCTTCGGCGAGGTGGTCCGAGGGATGGACATCGCGCGGGAGATAAATTCGCACGCCAAGGGGAAGAAGGACAACACCGCTGGCGCGGAGGTTCAGGCCAAGATCGTCGACGCGGGCATGTGCAGCACGCCGGAGTGCCTGTGACGATCCATAGGTATTCAAACCCGCCGCCGCTGCCGCTGCCGCCGCTGCTGCTTCTAAGGCGATCCCTCCGTCGATCTATCTAAAAAATATATGTATTCCTTTTTTTTAAAAAATACTTTTGTGTACCTAGCAAAAACAATCACCCCTGGCTGACTGATCCATCTCCATCTCAATAATCCATCTCTCAACACAGAGTCAGGGCCTACTTGATGGCTTGGACAGCCTTCTTCGCGGCGTCGTCGAGGTCAACGGCGGTGATGATCTTCATGTCGCTCTCGTCCATGATCTTCTTGCCAGTCTCCACGTTGGTTCCCTCTAGCCTCACGATGAGGGGAACCTTGAGGTCGAGCTCCTGGGCGGCGGCGACGATTCCGGCGGCAATCACGTCGCACTTCATGATGCCACCGAAGATGTTGACCAGGATGGCCTTGACGTGGCTGTCCATGGTCAAGATCTTGAAGGCCTCGACAATCTGCTGCTTCTCGGCGGATCCTCCCACGTCCAAGAAGTTGGCGGGGGTGCCGCCGTGAAGCTTGATGATGTCCATGGTGGCCATGGCCAGCCCAGCGCCGTTGACCATGCAGCCTATCTCTCCGTCCAATCCGATGTAGTTGAGGTCCCACTTGCTGGCAGCCACCTCCCTCGGGTCGATCTGCGAGTCGTCCTTCAAGCCAAAGAGCTCCTTCTGCCTGAAGGCGGCGTTGTCGTCGAAGCCGAGCTTGGCATCGGCAGCGATCAGGTTTCCCTCAGGGTCCTCGGCCAGGGGGTTGACCTCGACCATGGTGCAGTCGCTCTCGACGAAGAGGTTGTAAAGGCCCTTCACCTGCTTCGCGGCCTCGGACTGGGATCCGCTGACTTGGAGGCCCTCGACGATCTGGGCCGCCTGGTCGTCCGTGATTCCGGTGTTGATGTCGACCGGGACCTTGATAATCTTGTCCGGGTACTTCTCCGCGAGGTCCTCGATGCTCGTGCCGCCCTCGCTGCAGGCGATGACGAGAGGACCCCCGCTGCCCCTGTCCAGCAGGATCGCAAAGTACTTTTCGTTCTGCAGCTGCATCTTCTTCGCTATGTAGAGGCAGTTCACCGGCTTGCCGTCCGGTCCGGTCTGCTTCGTCACGAGGGTCTCCCCAATCATTTGAGAGGCCAAGCTCTCCACCTCCTCGGTCTTGCAAATGTGCACGCCTCCCTGCAGCCCAGACTTGAAGGTTCCGAGGCCCCTTCCTCCGGCAAGAATCTGACTCTTCACCACGACCTGAGAGAGACAGAGAGAGAGAATTGAATGAGCATTGAATGGAATGAGAATGGAGTGGAACGAGTCAGTCTCTCCATCCCAACAAGCAAGCAAAGCAAGACAGTCGTTGCTGCTGCTGTGTTCGTTCCATCGAGAGTCAAGGGTGGATAATCACGCACCTCGCCGGATCCCCCGTCCATCTTCTTGGCGGCGTCGACCGCCTCCTGGACGGTGAAGACGGGTATTCCCGGAGGAACGTTCACCCCAAAGCCAGCCATATGCTTGGCTCCCTGGTACTCGTGCACGTTGAGGTGTCGGTTAAACGTCTTCGCCCCTCCCGTCCTCCACGAGGCGTTGACGCACGAGG